TAGTAGTAGTAGTAGTAGTAGTAGTAGTAGTAGTAGCAGTAGTAGTAGTAGGAGCAGCAGCAGCCGTAGTAGTAGTAGTAGTAGTAGTAGTAGTAGTAGTAGTAGTAGCAGTAGCAGTAGTAGTAGTAGTAGTAGGTAGGTAGTAGTAGTAGTAGTAGTAGTAGTAGTAGTAGTAGTAGTAGTAGTAGTAGTAGTAATATTCGTAGTCGCAGTCGTCGTCGTAGTAGTAGTAGTAGTAACAGTAGCAGTCGTGGTAGTAATTGCACTTCTAGCAGTAGTAGTAGTAGTAGTAGTAGTAGTAGTCGTAGTAGTCGTAGTAGTCGTAGCAGTCGTAGTGTTAGAAGTAGTAGAAGTAGAAGTAGTTGTAGTAACGGCAGTAGTAATAGTAGTAGTAGTAGTAGTAGTAGTAGTAGTAGTAGTAGTAGTAGTAGTGGTAGTAGTAGTAGTAGTACCAGGAGTAGTGGTAGTAGTGGTAGTAGTAGTAGTAGTAGTAGTAGCAGCAGTAGTAGTAGTAGTAGCAGTCGCCGTCGTCGTCGCAGTATTTGTAGTAGGAGTAGTCTATAGTAGTAGTAGTAGTAATAGTAGTCGTCGTCGTCGTCGTCGTCGTAGTAGTAGTAGTAGTAGCAGTAGAGGAAGAAGAAGTAGAAGTAGAAGAAGTAGCAGAAGTAGTAGTAGTGGTCGTAGTAGTAGTAGTGGTAGTAGTAGTAGTAGTAGTGGTAGTAGTAATAGTAGTAGTAGTAGTAGTAGTAGTAGTAGTAGTAGTAGTAGTGGTAAGTCGTAAGTAGTAGTAGTAGTAGTAGTAGTAGTAGTAGTAGTAGTAGGAGTAGTAGTAGTAGTAGTGGTGGTAGTAGTAGTAGTAGTAGCAGTAGTAGTAGTAGTAGTAGTAGTAGTAAGTAGCCGAGTAATTGATTGTACGTAGTAGGTAGTAAGTAGAGTGTAGTAAGTAGTAGGCAGTTGTAGTAGTAGTAGTAGTAGTAGTAGTCGTAGTAGTAGTAGTAGTTGTAGTAGTAGTAGTAGTAGTAGCAGTAGTAGTAGTAGTAGTAGTAGTAGTAGTAGTAGAGTATCAGGCAGCAGTAGCAGCAGTAGTAGTAGTAGTAGTAGTAGTAGTAGTAGTGGCAGTAGTAGCAGTAGCAGTAGCAGTAGTAGTAGTAGTAGTAGTAGTAGTAGTGGTAGTAGTAGTAGTAGTAGTAGTAGTAGTAGTAGTAGTAGTAGTACTACGAGTAGTACGAGTAGTACGAGTAGTAGTAGTAGTAGTAGTAGTAGCAGCAGCAGCAGCAGCAGCAGTAGTAGTAGTAGTAGTAGTAGTAGTGGTAGTGGTAGTAGTAGTAGTAGTAGTAGTAGTAGTAGTAGTAGTAGTAGTAGTAGTAGTAGTAGTAGTAGTAGTAGTAGTAGTAGTATTGCCGCTCGCCTTCTTCCAGGCGCTGTGCGGCGTGCCTGTGCTTCAAGCCGCCTGCCGCCGCCAGACCTCGAAGGCATTGTCGAGAGGCTCCTCCAGCAGCGCAGCATCCTTCAAGTAGCCGCGCCCCTTGCGCCACCAGCGCACTCGGCGGGCACGGCAGCAATGAGCTCACAAGGCTTTGCGCTGTGTATACAAATTTGCGATCCCGATCCGCCAGACGATTCCTCACCCAGCTGCTGATCGATGCCGTCGTGGCCCTGGTAGAGCTCCGCGAACGTGTGCATGGCCTCGCTGACCTGGATGTCCTCCCCGTGGGACTTGTCCGAATAACTAGCCCCCAGTGCGCCACCAGCGCAGGCGAGACTGCAGCTCTGAGCACACCAGACTCTGAGCTTTTGGTACTGCTCACCTCCACTTGAACGCCGCTTCCTCGACCTGAGCGGCTGCCGCAGGATCTTCTGGCCGTGCGCGTTCCAGCCCTTCGGGTCGCGCGGGGATCGAGCTGGACGTCCCCGACCTTTGGAACGACCGCCGCTGGTCCATGTAAGTGTTCGCCTTGGGGGCCACAGGCGTCGACGGGTACTCCGGCCGCGTCGGCGGCAGAACCCTCGCCGTCACCCGCCGGCCACGCCCGACTGCCTCCGAGCCCCGTTGGATCGAGTCCGACCTTGATCGCTCGATCTCCTTCGGCTTCTCGTGCTCCGACTTCGCTTCTGCGTCTCCGAGGCCCTCTCGACGATGCGGCCCTGGAGGTCGCGCAGGTGCTCCGACAGCTGCTCCTCCTCCGACTCCGACTCCGACTCCGACTCCGACTCCTCCTCCGACTCCTCCTGGAGCATTTTGGCCCTCTTCTTGGCCGTGCGCTCTAATACCTCCATCGCCTCCGTGGCCGCACAGCGCTTGGCGGCCAGCTCCTCGTACAGTGGAGGCCCATGCCAAGAAACACCTTGCTTGCCTCCAGGGTGCCCTGGGTTTCTTGGGCTTCGATGGTTTCGCTATTGAAAGCGTGACGTTCCCACACCAAACTTCAATGGACGCCCTGGGGCCTCAGAGTTTGGTTTCTTGTGGAAGGTTTCTTGTCGACCGGTGCTTGCCCTGCGTCGCGCGGCCCAGGGGGGCTCCTCCTGCGTGATGCCCTCGCGAATTGGCTGTGCGCTGGCTCCGATGCCATCCTGCGGGGGCGGGCACGCTTCCTTCCAGCCCGGTGGCGCCGACAAGGCTGATGGGCCCATCTTCCACCACCACTACCATGCGTAGGATAGGGAGGAGGAGGAGGAGGAGGAGGAGGAGGAGGAGGAGCAGGAGCAACGCAGGAGCAGGAGCAGGAGCAGGAGCAGGAGGAAGAGGAGGAGGAGGAGGAGGAGGAGGAGGAGGAGGAAGGAGGAGGAGGAGGGAGGAGGAGGAGGAGGAGGAGGAGGAGGAGGAGGAGAGGACCTCCTCATCCTCCCTTCTCCCCCGACCCTCGGCCTCTCCGACAGATCGGCATCGTCTTGGCTTGCGGCACCGCCGTCTGCGTCGTCATCGTCAGCCCCGATGGAGATCGCGACGCAGCGATGCCCTCCCGGGTCATCGTCTCGCACTTCGGGATGGGGATGCGCCTCGGAGGCGAGGTGGGTGCCGACGCCACCGTCGATGACTAGCTCCACCTCCTCCCCAAAGGCCTCCTGGAACGTGCCGAGGCGCGTCGCAAACGCATCGGTGAGCCTCTCCTCCTTCACCCTGATCCTCATGCCTCCGCCACTGCGGGCCCGCGCCGCTGCACCCCCCTGAGGGTGCGCGGCGCGGGGCTACGCAGGAGGAGGAGGAGGAGGAGGAGGAGGAGGAGGAGGAGGAGGAGGATGAGGCGGAGGCGGAGAGGAGGAGGCGGAGGAGGAGGAGTAGGAGGAGGCAGGAGGCAGCAGGCAGGAAGGCAGAGGGAGGAGGAGTAGGAGGAGGCAGGAGGCAGCAGGCAGGAAGGCAGAGGGAGGAGGGAGGAGAAGGAGGAGGAGGAGAAGGAGGAGGAGGAGGAGGAGGAGGAAAAGGAACGATAATGACGTAAGAGGGAAGACCACGAGGAGGAAGAGAGAGCGAACGAGGAGGCGGAGGAGGTGGAGCGAGGAGGGGGGAGGGGCAAGCTAGGTGCGCTCGCGTCATATCTGATATCCTACCCCTCCCTCCCATCCCTTACCATGGCACAGATCCCCTCTCTACTCGCACAGTCGGATGTCGAGCAGGGCAATGATCCCGAAAGGGTACGCGATGCATTGTAGAGCACGGCATGGCATGGCGTAGAAGAGCACTGCGAAGCGTAGTATCAACCTAGCATTACATTGCATGCCGTGGCATGGCGCGGGAAATGACGCCAGCGCTGCAGCGGGAGCACGAGTCGAAACGAGCGGAAGCGCGGAAATGAGGCCAGCGCTGCAGCGGGAGCACGATTCGGAACGAGCGGAAGCACGCCGGAATCGGCCAGGGAGGCTTCCCGGGCGCCAGAAGCAGAAATGTAGCATTTTCAAAAGAAAAATGTGTATTGGAATGGTCTTTTTTCGGCGCCGCCTCGGAACTCGATTTTCCGGCGCCGGCCAAAACCGGCTCCGGACCCGGCCCGGGCGCCGGCGCGGGCGCCGGCTTGGGCGTCCGGCCCGGGCGCTGCTGGCCCGGGCATCAGAATCGGCCCGGGAGGCCTCCCGGGCGCCAGAAGCAGAAATTCAGCCAGCTTTTTCAAAAGAAAAATGTGTATCGGAATGGTCTTTTTTCGGCGCCGCCTCGGAACTCGATTTTCCGGCGCCGGCCGGAACGGGCTCGAGCCGGACCCTGCCCGAGCGCCGGCCCGGGCGCCGGCTCGGGCGTGCAGCCCGGGCGCCGGCGGAAATGAGGCCAGCGCTGCAGCGGGGGCACGATTCGGAACGAGCGGGGGCCGAAAATGAGGCCAGCGCCTCAGCGAGAGCAGAATTTTGGAAACAAATGCAGGCGAAAGCCCAACTCTGGGGAAACCTGTGTGTAAAAAACAGTGCGCGGGGGGGGTCGAATACTCCCAAGCCGTCATCAGGGGAAGAGGGAGAGTAGTATTCATATTGAGTAATTGTGGAGGAAAGGGGAGGGGGGAGCCAAGGGAGGCGAGGGAGGAGGGAGGAGGCAAGGGGGGGCGGATCGCGACGGAGGAGCCGCACCTGGCCGCGGTGAGCCCGAAGGGCGCCATGTCCTGCGCGGTGCAGGATCCCTCCTGCTCGTCGTCGTCCTGCTCCTCGTGATTCCTCCTCCTCCTCCTCCTCATCCTCATCCTCATCCACATCCTTCTTGTCGCTCCCCCTCCCTCTCCTCCTCGGTCCTCGTCGCTACTGCTCCTCCTCCTCCTCCTCTTCCTCCTCCTCCTCCTCCTCCATCTCAGTGCTCATCCTCGTCCTCCTTTTTCTTTCTCCTCCTTCTTCTCCTCCTCTTTCTCCTCCTCTTCACTTCTCACTCCTCACTCCTCCTCCTCCTCCTCCTGACCCCTCCTCCTCCTCCTCCACCTCCTCCTCCTCCTCCTCCTCCTCGTATTCCTTATCCTCCTATTCCTTCACCTCCTCCTCCTCCTCCTCCTCCTCCTCCTCCTCCTCCTCCCTCCCTCCTCCCGTGCAGCAGCTCACGGACTTCCTGCCGGAGCACGGGTTCGAGGTCGTCCGGTCGCTGCCAAACGCGAGGAGGCCGCTCGTCACGCTGGCGGACACCAGGGGCGGCCCTAAGCCACAGGGCAGCCGCTGGCCTCGTGGTTGTCACCGTTTGGAAGGGGGGGAGGAGGAGAAGGAGGAGCAGGAGGAGGAGGAGGAGGATGAGGAGGAGGAGGAGGAGGAATACGAGGAGGAGGAGGAGGAGGAGGAGGAGGAGGAGGAGGAGCATGAGGAGGAGGAGGAGGAGGAGGAGAAGAGAGGAGGAAGGAGTGCAAGGGAGGAGAAAGAGGTGAGGAGGGGAAGGAGGAGGAGAGGAGGAGGAGGAGGAGGTGGAGGAGCAGGAGTAGGAAGAGAAAGGGTATGAGGAGGGGGAGGGGGAGGAGAAAAAGGAAGTGGGCTGGAGGTGTTTTTCGGTCGTTTGAGTCGGTCCTCGGCTGTTTTCAAGCCTCGGGATTCTCTCCAGCAGCTGCTCCTCGCCGAGAGTGGTCTGGGGTGCCTGGATCGTTGCGAACGGCCCCCGGAGCGGGTACGGGTAGGGGGGATGAGGAGGGAGAAGGGAGTTGAGGGGGAAGAGGAGGAGGAGGAGGAGGAGGAGGAGGACGGGTGGGTGGAGGATGAGGAGGAAGACATTGAGGGGGCGGGGAGCACGATGACAGGAAGAGGGTGCGAGAGAAAGAGGAGGAGGAGGAGGAGGAGAAGGAAAGGGAGGGCGGAGAGAAGGAGGATTATGATGATGATGATGATGATGATGATGATGATGATGATGATGATGATGATGATGATGATGATGATGGTGGTGGTGGTGATAATGACGATGATGATGATGATGCTGCTGCTGCTGATGGTGATGATTATGATGGTGGTGGTGATGGTGGTGGTGATGATGGTGATGGTGATGGTGATGATGCTGTTAGTGATGATGTGGTTGTTGATGATGAGGATGCTGCTGATGCTGATAATGAGGATGAGGATGAGGATGATGATGATGATGATGATGATGATGATGATGATGATGATGATGAGGAGGAGGATGATGATGATGATGATGATGATGATGATGGCGATGATGCTGATGATGCTGCTGTTGATGATGATGATGACGATGATGTTGATGATGCTGATGCTGACGATGATGATGATGCTGATGTGGTTGATGATGATGATTATGATGATGGTGATGATGATGATGATGATGATGACGATGATGATGATGATGATGATGATGATGACGATGATGATGATGATGATGATGATGATGATGATGATGATGATGATGATGATGATGATGATGATGATGATGCTGATTATGCTGATGGTGCTGATGATGATTGTGATAACGGTGCTGATGATGATGATGATGATGATGATGATGAGGAGGAGGAGGAGGAGGTTACTTGATATTGGACCTGCGCTAGGTTTGGATCGCGTCTCGTCGTCGCCTGTATTGGCTGCGCCTGGGGCCGCGACTGGTGGGGGGGCGCCTTGTCGCCGCCGCTGTTGCCAACTCTCGTCGTGGACGCTTCGGGGCCTTCCTTGTTTTCAGCGGTGCAGCAGCTGCAGCTGCAGCAGCAGCAGGAGGAGGAGGAGGGGGAGGAGGAGCTGGAGGAGGAGGAGCGAGGAGGCGGGAGGAGGAGGAGGAGGAGGTAGAGGAGGGGAGGAGGGCTGGGAGGAGGAGGAGGAGGAGAGGAGGAGGACGAGGAGGAGGAGAGAGAGGAGGAGGAGGGCAGGGTCTGGGGGTGCCTTGTCGCCGCCGCTCGCTTTTGCCAATTCACGTCGTGGACGCTTCGGGGCCTTCCTATTGCAGCGGTGCAGCAGCTGCAGCAGGAGGAGGAGGAGGAGCGAGGAGCGAGGAGCGAAGAGCGAGGAGGAGGAGGAGCAGGAGGAGGAGGAGGAGGAGGAGGGAGGAGGGGGGAGGGGGCTGAGAAGGAGGAGAGTAGTGGATGATGGTGAGGAGGAGGAGGCGGAAGAGGAGGAGGAGGATGAGGAGGAAGCGAGGAGCGAGCAGCGAGGAGCGCGCAGCGAGGAGCGAGCAGCAAGGAGCGATCAGCGAGGAGCGATCAGCGAGAGCGAGGATGGAGGAGGGAGGAGGGAGGATGAGGAGGAGGAGAGGAGGAGGAGGCGGAGGCGAAGGGAAGAGCGAGGAACGAGGAGCGCGCGGACCGAGGAGCGAAGCGAGGAGAAGAAGCAGCGAGCAGCGAGGAGCGAGGAGCGAAGAGGGAGGAGGCGGTGGAGGAGGAGGAAGAACAGGAGGAGGAGGAAGAGGAGAGGAGAGAAGGAGGAGGGAGGAGGAGGATGAGCGAGGAACGAGGAGCGAGCAGCGAGGAGCGAGTTGCGAGGAGCGAGGAGCGAGGAGGTGGAGGAGGAGCGAGGAGGTGGAGCAGGAGGAGGAGGCGGTGGAGGAGGAGGAGGGGGAGGCGGAGGCGGAGGAGGAGGAGGCGGAGCAGGAGGAAGAGGAGGAGGAGCGAGGAGCGAGTTGCGAGGAGCGAGGAGCGAGGATGAGAAGGAGGAGGAGGAGGAGGAGGAGGAGGCTGAGGGGGAGGCGGAGGCGGAGGCGGAGGAGGAGGAGGAGGAGAAGGAGGAGGAGGAGGAGGAGGAGGTCCAAAGGACTGGCAGGGCGAGCCAGCGACGCTTCAGTTCACCCCGCCGTGCCGAGTCCCCCCTTCAGAAGTCCCCGCAGGCGCATCGCTGCGGGACGCGCCCCTGGGACAGACGAGCGCCTCGTCGGCTTGCCATGCAGGCGGCAGCCACGGATTGAGAAAGAGCCGCCCTCAATCATTCCAGTCGCGCGCGAGGAATGCTCAGAGGTATGACCACCATGCTCAAGGGACGGCCCACCCCAATCTTGAGAAAGAGCCGTCCTGCGCCGGTGTAGTTGCTGCACAGGAGCACGCGTACGGCCATCACAGATGACGATGCTTCCAGTGATCGCTCCATGTTGAAAGGGAGCCTCCTTCTGCCATTGCAAGCGTTGCACCATGTTCGACATCTGCCCGGATTGATCAAGTCGGGTTAACGCGACAACCCAATTGTGAGGAAGACCCGCTTTACACCCGCGTGAATGTTGGACGCGCTCAAAACGAGTGTGAGCGGCCCAAATGATTGGAAGGGGGACAGCCTCAGTCTACGTAGTTGCTAGAACACTGTAAGGCGAATGTCGCGGCGCTAAGGCGATAGCCACATCTTGCAGAAGGAGTAGCTTTCCGTCGGTGAGGCCATTGAGGCTCCAAGGTCCTGGATCATCGGCGGTGGGGAAGCCTCAGGCGAAACGCCCAGCCTGCCCGACTCACGCGTCTCGTGGCGCGACGAGGACGAGTCGTGTGGAAGCAGTGGGAAGGATGTGAAGGATGCAACGGGGAGGAGGGGGGAGGGAGGAGGGAGGAGGGGGGACTGAGGAGGGAGGAGGGAGGAGGGAGGAGGGCGGAGGGAGGAGGGAGGAGGGGAGGGAGGAGGAAGGAAAAAGGAGTTGGGAGGGCGAAGGGAGGAGGGAGGAGGGGAGGAGGGGGGAGGGAGGAGGCAGGAGGGAGGAGGGGCAGGGAGGAGTGGGGAGGGAGGATGGGGGAGGGAGGAGGGAGGAGAGTGAGCGAGCGAGCGACAGGCAAAGGGAAGACTGGGAGAGGGCGGAGGGGGGGTGCCCTGCGCCTGCAAGCTGGGACGAGCGGCCGTGCTCTTCCGCTGGCCGACTGCTGACGTTGTGTGGCTTGGCACGTGTGCATTCTTTCCCGGCGAGGACCGTCGAGGAGCATCTCGGCACATCTTGCGGGAAAAAAGCGCGGGAAGCCGAAGCATGCACGGGGAATGGACGTCCGAACGGTGGCAAGGGGGGCAGGCGAATCGAATACCTCTTTCAGGCAATTTCATTCCTAGCCTAACGACGATGAGAAAATATCGGATACATGAAACTGTTTGTCCATAGGCACAACGTCCATTCCAATGTGAAACTATGATCCGCAGCCGCCACATTGTTTTCAATAGGACTCCTTTTGGTCACGACGGCTCGCCCAGGCAATTTTGAGTCATGCGAACAGGCGTTTGCTGGGAAACTTGAAAAGAACCGTGCGTCCTATCATGCGTTTCGTTCAGGTGTTCTTCCAATCAAATGTGGGCAATCTGCGCACGAGCTGTCTCCAGCCTCCCACGCTGTGCTGAGTCATGCGAATTGCGCGTGCTGGGGCAACTATTGCCAATCTACCCTTTGCTGCAGATGCAATGCGTGTAACTGGCACATAGGATCCCCGAGCTGCTCCGACAGGGTCACTGGACATGTTGCAGCGTATTATTTTGTGCGCGCTGCCGTCTGGAAGAATTGGCTTCGAGGGATGCTGGTTGTCCGGGTCTAGCTTGTCGCGGTTTACGGGGCCCGGGGATTTCCGACCCTCAGAGATTCTCTGAGGGTCGGAAAGGCCCCGCCCCTTCTCACTCCCCCCCAGGTTCGCCGCCGACAGGAGTCTACCCAGTGGTTCCCAGACATCCGCCGATGTGTTTCTTCAATCCGCGGCCCCAGGGGTCTCGACCCCTTCCACGGGGGTGGTGTTTCGTCCCGATTTGTTGTGATCGCCCCTGGGCCCGAGAACGGGCCCCCGAGGCCGACATCTAGAAAAAACCGCCGGGTGGAAAAAAACGTATCCTCGGGCGTCGTGGGACGCGATGCGCGGAGCGTCAGGTCGTCGTGGTCGTCGTCGTCGTCGCCGCCGCCGCCGTCGTCGTCGTCGTCGTCGTCGTCGTCGTCGTCGTCGTTGTCGTCGTCGTCGTCGTCGTCGTAGTACCTGTCCCAGGGAAAGAGTCGGGACTTTCATCAACGAGGACAAATCCACCCCGACCCCCATAATCGGCGTTTACTCAACGGCCCCGTGCGTTTACTAAACAGCGCTTTGTTGTTCGATTCCTTCGTCGGGTGCGTTTAGCAAACGGTTGCGTTGTCGGGGTGCTTATTATCGGGGTGGATCTCCAGCCCTCTATTCCAGGGACAGAGCATTGACATCATCTGGACGTCGCATGTGCGGGCGAGGCCAGCGTGCTCCCCGGCGGGGCGCAGGGGACGGGGTAAAGCGCCATGAGGGCTGCGGAGCACGGGCTGCGGAACACTCGACTATACTTAAGTCGGGCCTGTCCCTCTACAGGGGGAGTACTCAAAAATAGTCAACAAAATAGTCTGGGGACGATTTTTTGATTATTTTTGAGTATTTGGGAGGTATTTTTCATTTTTCGCCCGAAATCCCCCTGCAGGGGGACAGGCCCGACTTAAGATTATACGTTCGAGTGACCCTTCGCCGAAGTGACCTTTGGTGCGGGCACATTGGGGTTCCCCGATCGCCGAGCGCGATGCGATAACAGCGACTTGCGCGTTAGTGTTTGGCCCCCCCGCGGCTCCGCAGGCGCCGCGCACCAGAGGTCGCTCGCACCCAGGGCCGCTCTTGCGTGCACCGTCAACCCGCGTAGTAAAGATGGGCAGCCTTCCCAAGGGTACCCTTGCATCCTCGCCCCTTCGGCCCATCATTAGACGTTTTCGCTGGCCGCGCCCCGCTCGCAGAGTGTCGGCATGGCCTCCAGCCCTGGCATCCTTATCGTGCGTCCTTATCAAACGGGTCGACTGTAGCGACTTGCGCGCTTATGTTTGGTCCCCCCGCGACCCCACAAACGCCGCGCACCAAAGGTCACTCTCGCCCAGGGTCAGTCTCCCAGACATGCGACGTCCTGACTTTTTCAGTACGGCGTCCCTGGAAGCCCCGGCCCTCTCCCTGGGACCCGCTTTCCATCCCGAGTCGTTTTCTGGCGGCCCCGGGGCGCCGGCGAGGCAGAGGCCATTCTCACCCAGCACACAATGAATCGTCGATCCCCGGGAAAAGATGGGAAAATATGGGAAGTGGGGGGGGGAAGACGAAAATCCAGAACATGTGAGAACATCTGGGGAATCCTGGGATTTGTGTCTAAGGGTCGCTGCTGCCCGTGGCCGAGGGAGCGCGCCGGGAGGGCCGCGGAGCACGGGCTGAGGAGCGCGGGCCGCGGTGCCGGGAGTGCTCGGCGTGCTCTTCTCTGGCCGGCTGCGGAGGGCGGGGGGCGCCGTGGGCTCGCCGCCCGGAGGCCGGCTGCGGGAGGCGCCTCGCGCAGTGCTTTCGCGGCACGGTGGCGCTTTTTTTTGTGATTTGCCCGCGGTCGCAGCCGCGGGGCGGCGCGGCGCCCCCGAGGTCCGACGGGCCCCCCAAAGGAGCGGAGCGGGCGCTCTTTCGGCTCCGGGGGCCTTCGCCGGGCCTCGGGGCCGTCCAGCAGAGGCTTTTTTCTCCCACTCTTACTTTCAACGAGTTGTGAGCACAAACAAAAATCATGATGTCCGCCTGGGCCCCCATCGGACGAGCGGAGATGCGAGCGAAGTGGCGCGCGCGGTCGCGCGCGACCCGCCGCTGGTAATAACGTGAATGCGCGGGCGTCGCGGCGACGACGACGGCGACGGCGACGACGACGGCGGTGCCTGCGCCGACGGTGACGACGACGGCGGGCCCTGGGGAAGTGGTCCAGACCTCCGGGGCCCACGCATCGAGAAAGTTGGGGCGGCCGGATGTCTGGGGCTGTCGTTCCTGGGCCTGTGGGGCAGCTGCGCGCGATGATTCGAGCCTTCTCGCGCCCCGCGGCAGGGGGCCCGCGGGGGGCGGGGGGGGCTCGGTCCAGCAAGTGCTGCCCAAGATCACTGCGCAGGGTAGGGCTCCCGCAAGCATGGCGGGCCGCAGCAAGCGCGCGAGCATCACCTTGCACTTGCCTTCGCTTGACCCCCTCGTCGGCGATACACCATGCAGGGAGGGTTGGGCGGATAGTATGCGAAGAGATATTCGCGGGCCGCCTTCGGCTCCTTGCATACCACGAGCGGCTCCTTGCATACCACGAGCGATCCTTGCATGCACGGGGAAGTCGCCTCAGAACAACAGGGCTTGAGCGGCGATTAGGAGGATGTGGGGGACGACGAGGAGGATAATGGAGGCGGGATATGACAGCATAAAAGGAGCAAGATGACGAAGGGGGGAGGGGGAGAAGGACGAGGAGGGGCGAGAGAAAAGGATCATGATGATGATGATGAGGAGGAGGAGGAGGAGCAGGAGGAGGAGGAGGCGGAGGAGAGGAAGTGGGGGGAGGAGGAGGGTTTCAGCTGTCCTGAGGACAGGGATGGACAGCTTGACGAGATTGACGTGTCTATCAACAACCGTCTCCCGCTCTGCAACTCCAGGCTGCTGAGGTCTTATTCCATGCTGGACGACAGGGTGAGACCGCTGGTGCTGCTCGTGAAGAATTGGGCGAAACGCATGCAGGTCTGCGGCGCCAACGAGGGCAACCTGTCGTCCTACGCGTGGACGATCATGGTGGTGTACTTCCTGCAGCTAGCTGGCATCCTGCCCTCGCTGCAGGCGTCGAAGAAGAAAAGCATTGCAAATGCATAAGCGCTCGGAGGTTCGTGCAGATATCTTGCCTCTGTGCCTCTGCGGTGGGCGCCCCTCCTGGCGGCGCGCCCCGCGCGCCAGGGAGGGAGACCAAGCGCCGATCTGAGAATTTCTATGCAGACCTCCGAACTTTTATACTGTAGGTTCGCGTCGTGTCGACCGCGGCGACCTCGCCACCGGCGTTCAACGCTGAACGCCGCCCGCGACCCAGGATCGGTCGACGTTGAGCATTCCGACGTTTCGGAAACGGCCGACCGTTCAAAGTGGAACGGTCCCCGCGGTGTCAGGAACCAACCCCGGGGTCGGCACGACACGAACCTGCCGTACTTGTGTTGCTCGATGATGGTGCTGCTGGTGGTGATGGTGATGATGATGGTGATGGTGACGATGACGATGACGAAGACGAAGACGATGATGATGATGATGATGATGATGATGATGATGATGATGATGCTGATAACGATGATGACGATGATGATGATGCTGATGATGATCATGATGATGATGATGATGGTGATGGTGATGATGATGACGATGACGATGTTGACGCTGATGCTGACGATGACGATGACGATGACGATGATGGTGATGATGATGATGATGACAACGATGATGATGATGCTGATGATGATGATGGTGATGGTGATGACGATGATGATGACGATGATTATGCTGTTGCTGATGCTGATGCTGACGATGACGATGACGATGATGATGATGATGATGATGGTGATGGTGATGACGATGAGGATGACGATGATGATGATAATGATGCTGATGATGACGATGAGGATGACGATGACGATGATAATGATGATGACGAGGATGATGATGATGGTGATGGTGATGACGATGATGATAATGATGATGATGACGATGATGATGATGATGATGATGCTGATGCTGACGATGATGATGACGATGACGATGACGATAACGATGAAGATGATGCTGATGACGATGATGATGATGCTGATGATGATGGTGATGGTGATGGTGATGACGATGATGATGATGATGATGACTACGTTGACGCTGACGATGACGATGACGATGATGATGCTGCTGATGATGATGGTGATGGTGATGACGATGACGATGATGATGATGATGATGATGATGATGATGATGGTAATGACGATGCTGATGCTGACGATGACAATGACGATGACGATGATGATGCTGATGAAGATGATGGTGATGGTGATGACGATGATGATGATGATGAAGATGATGGTAATGATGCTGGCGATGACGATGACGATGTCGATGATGATCATGATGACGATGATGCTGATGATGATGGTGATGGTGATGGTGGTGATGACGATGATGATGCTGATGACGATGACGACGATGATGATGATGATGATGATGATGATGCTGACGATGACGATGATGATGACGATGAGGATGACGATGGTGATGCTGATGATGATGGTGATGGTGATGACGATGACGATAACGATGATGCTGATGATGACGATGACGATGATAACGATGATGCTGAAGATGACGATGACGATGGTGATGCTGATGATGATGATTACAATGATGATGGCGATTCTGATCATGATGATGATGGTGATGACGATGATGATGATGATGATGGTGATGGTGATGGTGGCGATGACGATGCTGATGCTGACGATAACGATGACGATGACGGTGACGATGATGATGACGATGATGATGATGATGCTGATGCTGATGGTGATGGCGATGACGATGATGATGACGATGATGATGCTGATGCTGATGCTGACGATGACGATGATGATGATGATGCTGATGACGATGCTGACGATGACGATGATGATGATGGTGATGATGATGATGATTATGATGATGCTGACGATGCATGTGATGATGATGATGATGATGATGCTGATGATGATGCTGGTGATGGTGGTGGTGATGACGATGATGCTGACAATGATGGTAATGATGCTGAGGATGACGATGACGATGATGATGATGACGATGAGGATGACGATGATGATGATGGTGATGACGGTGACGATGATGATGACGACGACGATTACGATGATGATGCTGATGCTGATGCTGACGATGACGATCACGATGACGATGACGATGATGATGATGATGACGATGATGATGCTGATGATGACGACGATGATGTGATGATGGTGATGATGATGATGGTGATGGTGATGACGATGATGATGACGATGACGATGATGATGATGATGCTTACGATGACGATGACGATGCCGATGATGATGATGATGACGATGATGATGATGATGATGATGATGCTGATGATGCTGACGATGGTAATTGTGATGACGATGCCGACGATAATGACGATGTTGATGACGATGATGATGATGATGGTGATGATGATTATGACGATGACGATGATGATGCCAATGCTGACGATGACGATGATGATGACTATGACGATGACAATGTTGATGATGACGATGATGATGCTGATGCTGATGGTGATGATGGTGATGGTGATGACGATGACGATGACGATGCTGACGATGCCGATGCCGATGACGATGATGATGCTGATGATGATCATGTTGATGGTGATGACGATGATCATGACGATGATAACGATGATGATGCTGACGATGACGGTGACGATGACGATGATGGTGATGGTGATGACGATGATGATGATAATGACGATGCTGATGCTGATGCTAACGATGAGGATGACAATGACGATGATGAATGATGATGATGACGATGATGATGATGATGATGATGATGATGATGGTGATGATGATGGCGATGATGATGATGACGATGACGATGAGGATGACGTTGACGATGACGATGACGATGACGATGATGATGACGATGACGATGACGATGATGACGATGATGATGATGCTGATGGTGATGACCATGATGATGACGATGATGATGACGATGATGATGATGATGGTGGTGATGACGATGATGATGCTGATGACGATGACGATGATCATGATGATGATGGTGATGCTGACGATGACGATGATGATGACGATGATGATGATGATGATGATGATGGTGATGGTGATGCTGATGATGATGGTGATGGTGATGGTGATGACGATGACGATAACGATAACGATGATGCTGATGATGACGATGACGATGATAACGATGATAACGATGATGATGACGATGATGACGATGATGATGATGCTGATGGTGATGACCATGATGATGACGATGATGATGACGATGATGATGATGATGATGATGGTGATGACGACGATGATGATGATGACGATGACGATGATGATGCTGATGCTGACGATGACGATGACGATGATGCTGGCAATGAAAATGATGATGACGATGATGATGATGACGATGACGATGATGATGGTGATAGTGATGGTGATGACGATGACGATGATGATGATGATGATGACGATGACGATGATGATGATGATGATGATGGTGGTGATGGTGATGAAGATGATGATAACGATGGTGATGATGTTGACGATGACGATGACGATGACGATGATGATGATGATGATGATGCTGATACTAACGATGACGATGACAATGATGATGATGACGATGACGAAGATGATGATGACGCTGATGATGATGACGATGGTGATGATGATGATGGTGATGGTGGTGATGACGATGATGATGCTGATGACGATGACGATGATCATGATGATGATGGTGATGCTGACGATGACGATGATGATGACGATGATGATGATGATGATGATGGTGATGGTGATGCTGATGATGATGGTGATGGTGATGGTGATGACGATGACGATAACGATGATGCTGATGATGACGATGACGATGATAACGATGATAACGATGATGATGACGATGATGATGATGCTGATGATGATGATGATGACGATGATGATGGCGATTCTGATGATGATGATGGTGATGATGATGATGACGATGATGGCGCTGATGCTGACGATGACGATGACGATGACGATGATGATGATGATGATGATGATGATGATGATGACGATGACGGTGATGATGCTGATGATGATGTTGATGGTGATGGTGATGGTGATGACGATGACGATGATGATTATGATGACGATGACGATGACGATGACGATGACGATGACGATGACGATGACGATGATGATGATGATGATGATGATGATGATGATGATGATGATGATGGTGGTGGTGGTGGTGATGGTGGTGGTGGTGGAGATGATGATGACATCATCTGCATTATCCTACGAGGTGCTGGCCGACTCCTCCAGCACCGTCCAGGACCTGGTGGCGGCACGCGCAGGGCGGTGGCGCGCGAGGGGGGGAGGGGCGGCCTTGTAGGAAGGCGGAGGGCTTCTCAGAAGGCGGGGGCCTTCTTTCGACGAGCGCGTTCCACTACTCGCAGAGTAGCTGCTCGCAAATGGCCCGGATCCGCCGCGGGGGATCTACGACTCCCATCGAAGCAAGCATCTTTTTGATTCGGACATTTGCGAGTAAGCACTTTGCGAGTACAGGCGGCCTGGATTAGTAATTAGTTCGACCCTGCCAGATCAAAGGTACCCTTGCGTCCTGTCTCTTGCGACCCATGCCTCCTGCATTTCTGCGGCAACGTGGCCCTCGAAAGGGTCTTGTGTCTTCTCGCGTGTCCTCTCCAATCAAGTCCGACTGTAGTGGAACGAGCTTGGTGATTCTGAGGCGGGCCCAGGGGCCTCCAAGAAGGCCGCCTGGAAGCAGGGGGCCTCCAAGACGCCCCCCCTTGCCTTCCCGGCGGCCCCGCCGCCCTCGCGGCAGGCCGCCCCGCCCGCGCCCCGTTGCGCCCCCCTCCTGGCGCGGAGTCCCCCTCCTCCTCCTCCTCCTCCTCCTCCTCCTCCTCCTCCTCCTCCTCCTTCCTCCTCCTCCTCCTTCCTCCTCCTCCTCCTCCTCCTCCTCCTCCTCCTCCTCTCCCTGTCCTCCTCCTCCTCCTCCCTGTCCTCCTCCTCCTCCTCCTCCTCCTCCTCCTCCTCCTCCTCCTCCTCCTCCTCCTCCTCCTCCTCCTCCTCCTCCTCCCCTCCTCCTCCTCCTCCTCCTCCTCCTCCTCCTCCTCCTCCTCCTCCTCCTCCTCCTCCTCCTCCTCCTCCTCCTCCTCCTCCGCCCCTCCTCCGCTCCTCCTCCTCCTCCTCCTCATCCTCTTCTCCTCCTCCTCCTCCTCCTCCTCCTCCTCCTCCTCCTCCTCCTCCTCCTCTCCTCCTCCTCCTCCTCCTCCTCGTCCGCCCTCCCCCTCCCCCTCATCTCCGCCTCCTCCTCTTCCCCTCCTCCTCCTCCTCCTTCTCCTCCCTCCTCCTCCTCCTCCTCCCTGTCCTCCTCTTCCTCCTCCTCCTCCTCCTCCTCCTCCTCCTCCTCCTCCTCCTCCTCCTCCTCCTCCCTCCTCCTTCTCCTCCTTCTCCTCCCCCTCCTCCTCCTCCTCGTCGTCCTCCTCCTCCTCCTCCTCCTCCTCCTCCTCGCCCAGGACATCAACTACTGGGGGCAGCCCTGCGAGTTTGACACGAGCTTCCTGGGCGCGGAGGACCCACGGGACGGGAAAGTGACCACAACCACTGCCGCTTTCCAGCCAGCAGGAACAGCTGGAAGGCGGCGCAAACAAGAAGCAGTGGTTGTGGTCATTTTCCCGTCCCGCGGAGGAGTACCTGGCGCGGCGGGCCGCCGAGGGGGGCGCCGCCAACGACGGCTTCACCATGGCACACCTGGTGCCCGGCCTCCCTCGAGGGAGCACAGCGCAGGCATGGCGGGGGCGGACTCCCGGGATCTGGGGCCTTGGGACCCTCCGGACGGGCCTCGAAGCGGCCCCCTTGGGCCCCGCAGGGCATTTTGCCAAACCTTCCCAGCACACCTGGGGCGATCAGGGGGGTCATCGGAGACGTCCCAGGGACCCCCAAGACAGCACAAGAGCGCTCCAAGAGTGACCGACGTGACCTCAAGATGGCCCAAGAGGCCTCCAGGACGGCCCCGAAGAGGCCTCCAAGAGCACTCCCCAGAAGGCCCCCAGAGGCACAAATCATCGATTTTCTTTTTGTTTTTGGTGAATTTGGGGGTTCTCCTCTTTTCGGCTTCCGAACGCTCCATGACGGCGGTTTTCTGGGCGTCCGAAGCCGCCTGGGAGGCTCCCAAATCGCCCCACAATCATCCGAAAGGGCTTCCAGGCAGTCCAAGAGAGCCCCAAAACGGCACAACACGGATTCTCACCCTATTCAGCAAGTGCCGACACTATTTTTGCAGGGCCTGGGCGTTATCGTCTAGTTTTCCACGACTCCCTGAGTCCAACCGTGTAGTCTAGAATCCCGTTGAGTTATCCTATCGGGTGACCGTGTTGCGTACTGCTATTTACAGTGGTGTCCAGTGAATAAAAAGAAAAAAAAAAAAAAAAAAAGGAAACGGCACAACACGGATTCAAGATGGCCCTCAGACAGCCCCATGGCGGCCCAATATGGCCCAAAGACACCCTCCGAAGCACTCCAGATCGTGACCCGGTCGTTCAGGGAGACCGCGGTTGGAGGCAGGGTGGCCCGAGGAAACCCCCAGAGGCCCCCAGAATACGCCCAGGAGGCTTCCAGAAGGCCTCAAGAAAGCTTGAAACAACTTTTGTGAGGCCCCCAGAGGCTCTCCAAGGAGGAGACTCCGCAGAAAGAGCTGAGGAGGATGGGGAGAATGCGCAGGGTATGGCGAAAATGAGGAAAAAGAAGCATGGAGGAAGGATAACGAATAACATTAGTGTAGCGGCGATGCCGGAAAAAAAAAGCAACAAGGAGTTATCGCTAAATTGTCGGCTTCGCCTTCCTGCTACTCCGCCTGCGTACCAAACTTCAAGGAATATGTATGTATGTATGTATGTATGTATGTATGTATGTATGTATGTATGTATGTATGTATGTATGTATGTATGTATGTATGTGTATGTATGTATGTATGTATGTATGTATGTATGTATGTATGTATGTATGTATGCATGCATGTATGATATATATATATATATATATATATATATATATATATATATATATATATATGTGTGTAAAACAAATTCGCCGGGCCCCCTCCCGGGGCGTCCCCCACCTCGTTCGCATCTCGAGCTCGCTCCCGGTACCGCGCTTCCCTGCTTCCCGGGGAGTCCCCACAATGCCCAAAGACAGCCCAAACTGACCCCAAGAAGCCCCCAGAACGGAATATACCACGCTTGCTATGCCCTGGACGACCGTGACGGATAGCGGCCGCGCTGAGGGACCACCCCCTGCGCACGAGAATATGCCACGCCTGCTATGCCCTGGACGACCGTGACGGATAGCGGGCGCGCTGAGGGACCACCCCTTGCGCACACCATATGGTGCGACGCCTGCGGACGAGAAGCGCGCATAGCGGCCGCGCTGTATCTGGATATGTTTATCATGTGGTTGCCATGTATGTGGTGCATACGTCGTAGGGTGTATGACGCAGTCAGTGAACACGCCAGGCGTGCACTGGCGAGCGATACGGAGAAGCCAAAGGGTGGGGAGGAGGAGAAAAGGAGAAGGAACGCGGGTGCGACGCGGCAGGGAAGAAAACCAGACAGCACACCGCGCGATCGTGGAGTCGCAGTTAGGGGGTTGCGTCATGTGTATGATGCGCGTGCGGATGTATTTAGACGCGTGTCTCATGAGCGTGCCGTGCATGTGTTGCCAGAACCCCACGTGCCACGTGCCGTGCATGCGTTGCGCTCGGGCGACGCGAGGGATAGGAGAGGAAAAAAAGGAGGGGAAGAGGGAGGTGTGTGTGGTGGGAGGAGACGCGGGTGCGACGCGGCAGAGAAGAAAACCATAACCCCACGAAACACGCGGGGAAACACGCACAATTCCATCACATTGGCATTTTTGGATCTTGACAGCGTCCATGACAGCCCAAGAGGCCCCCAGGCCCCACGACAGCCCAAGAGGTCCCCCAGAGGGCCCCCAGAGGGCCCCCAGACGGCCCCAAGAGAGCCCCCAGACGGCCCCAGGGGCACCCAGGACCGTCCAAGACGGCCCCAAGAGGACCCCAAAATGGCCCCAGGGGACGAAATGAAAAAACAGAGACTGAAGATGACCGCGGGCCGGCCGGTAAAGACGGCAGCGCCGGCAAGGGCGGCAAGGCCGGCAGGGCCGGCAAGGCCGGCAAGGCCGGCAAGGCCGGCAGGGCCGGCAGGCGCGGCAAGGCCAGCAGGGCCGGCAGGACTGGCAGGGCCGGCAGGGCCATGCAAGGCCGGTTCAAGGCCGGCAGGGCCGGCAGGGCCGGCAGGGCTGGCACGGCCGGCAGATGACCGCGCAGCCCGGTAGGGCCGGCAAGCCCAGCAGGGCCGGCAAGGCCGGCAAGGCCGCCATGACCGGCAAGGCCGGCAGGGCCGGCAAGGCCGGCAGGGCCGGCAAGGGTGGCAAGGCCAGCAAGGCTGGCAGGGCCGGCAGGGCCGATAGGGCCGGCAAGGCCGGCAGGGCCGGGGCAAGGCTGGCAAGGCCGTCAGGGCCGGCAAGGCCGGCATGGCCGGGAGAGGGCCAGCAGGGCCAGCAACGCCGGCAAGGCCGGCAGATGACCCCGCTGCAGCGGCCAGGAGGGCCGGCGAGGCCGGCAAGGCCGGCAGCGTCGGCAGCGCCGGCAAGGCTGGCAGGCCTGGCTAAGCCAAAAGAAGGGCCGGCGGGGCCGGCAGAGCCAGCAGAGCCGGCAGGGCCGGCAGGGCGAGTAAAGCCGGCAAAGCGGCTGGTAGGGCTGGTAAGGCCGGCAGGGCCGGCAGGGCCGGTAGGGCCGGCAGGGCGGGCAAGGCCGGCAAGGCGCCTGCGCAGGCAGGGCCGGCAAGGCCGGCAGGGCCGGCAGCAGGAGGGCCGGCAGCGCCGGCAGCGCCGGCAAGGCCGGCGGCGCCGGCAAGGCGCGGCAGGGCGCGGCAGGGCCGGCAGGGCCGGCAAGGCCGGCAGGGCCGGCAAGGCCGGCAGGGTCGGCAAGGCCTGCAAGGCCGGCAGGGCTGGTAGGACTAGCCCTGGCAAACGCGGCAGGGCCGGCAGGGCCGGCAGGTCCTGGTCTGGCAGAGCCGGCAGGGCAGGGCCGGCAGGACCGGCAGGGCCGGCGGGCCCAGCAGGGCCGGCAGGCCCGGCAGGCCTGGTCGGGCGGGCGAGCTATTAAACAATGATGCGTCATCGAATTGGCACGCGAACCCTCAACATCCGCATAGTTAAATTATAGATATAGTTAAGTTTTAACTTGTAGTTAAAATTTAACTAATTCCTCTAAGGTCAAAATTTAACTTAACCATGTAGTTTACATTATTTTAACTAAATAGTTAATTTTCCAACTTAACTAAATACTTAAATTTAAACTAGCGCCAAAAGTTAAATTTTAACTACGCGTTTTGATCATAATCATCAACCACATTTACGTGTTAATGATGTTATATATACACAACCCCATCGCATGAGCAATGATGACAAGTGGACGTCGATTGATATATTTCTTCCTTGAACCATCAAGCGCGCTACTCCGAAAACATGTGCGAAGACATCTGCAAATGCATCCCTTCCCTATATTTTCACCCTCGGCAGCACGAATTCCCCACAGTGCGCATGGTGTGCATCATGTGTTCCCCTGCGTAGCACCACCCGCGCCGCGGATTCAAGTGAACGCAATCATGGCCGAGATGGCATAAACCATGCGACTTCGGCGTTACATCGAACAGCAGATCTCCCAATCCATTGAAATGTTTCGCCGCGGCTGTTTGGCACGCTAAATACACGAACGCGCACTGTTGCCATTCCGCGGCTGCCTCTGGAGACAGTTTGCACTCGCGCGTGTTCTTCGTCATAATAGCATCCAACCGCGCGTTTTTGCGCAAGGCCACCCCTATCTGCCTGTTGACCGTAACGCTCATGTCCGCATAGAAAGGCCATATATCACAGAGCGCCGTTGTCATGCTCTTCACTTCTGCAGCGTGCCCCTTCAACTTTGGGAAATTCTCATCGGGCTTGTCTGGGTTGTGCCACGTGCTCAGCTTCACATTACCATAGTGCTCAGATATTCCGCTCCGTTTCCAGAAGTCTTTGGCGCGCAGCACGACTTTGTGTAAATTTTCAGCAGCCGTGCCTGGGATAATCCTGTACACGAGAAGCCAAATCACTGAACCATTAAAGTACTGATCTGTACCCAGGTGCTTTACATGCATGAGGTCATACATAACTGACAATATATTTACCCCTGGAATGGCAAATATTGCATGGTGAACAGGGTGCGCAGCAAGCCATGAAGCAGCGTCCCATATATGATGTAACCATGGCGCTGCGTGCTGTCTGTGGTCACTCCATTTTTAATCGGTCACACGTTGGCAGTGCACTTGAAGCGTGGCGAGTTGCACCCTGCATTCGGCAATCCACATTCCTGCGGGCCATTAATAATTGCATCGTTCCGCCCCCCCCCCCCCCCCTCCACCCCCCCATGCCTCGGCCCGCCCACGTCTGTCACGAAGGCGAGCCATTCAAGTGTCCATCACAAGCCTCCGCCCTCTCCTTCCGCATACTCCGAATTCCGTATGTTCCTCCACCCCTCCTCCTCCTCCGCCTCCTCTTTCTGCTCTCCTCCCCCTTCTCTCGCAGGTGCCGCCCCTCCTCCCCCGCCTCCCCATTTGTGGATTTCCAAATCCTGGTTCAGATATTCCCAGTCGCCCTTCACTGTACAGATCATACCACGCAATCCCCCTGCCAAGTCA